CCCTGTGATGGACTGGCATCCCGTCCAGGGTGTCCCCTGCCCTGTGCCCTGTGATGGACTGGCATCCCATCCAGGGTGTTTCCTGCTCTGTGCCCCATGATGCCTGGAATAAGCCCCTCTACCAGATAAACAATTATGAAAAACAGAGGTACATACTTGCTTATTTTGTATACATAATTTTAATAAAATTTTCAAATCAGCCCCCGCCCGCCCCCCAGACCCCCTTTAGTGTAGTCTAGGTTGCTTTTCCGCTGCATGAAATCCTATTTCAGGAGTGACAAAGATTTTTGCAAAAACAACAAACAAAAGGACTTCAGAAATCGGCAGAAAGATGTCTGGCTGTACATGAGCCCCGTGAATCGTTAAATTCTCCTCAGAATCCTTTCCTCCCGTCTTAACAACAACCTCTTGGTTAAAAAGTGTGTGCCGTACAGCATGCACTAAGCTAGGAATGACAAGTCAGGGGCTGTGTTTCCGATGCCCAGCGAATAAAGGTTTTACTGGAGGTAAGCCAGCGAACGGATCCCTATGACATGAGAATGGGAGGCTGAAGGAGGGGTGTGAGGGTTTGCTGAGCTGGGGCGGGGGAATGGACAACACAAAGGACAGTTTTAGGGTTTGGGGGGGGCAGCTGGTCGTGACAACAACAGACCGGGACACAAGGATCCATTTCCTTCATTACAATCTCAACTGCTGGCCTGGATTCAGAGAGAGAGAGAGAGAGCCTGTGAGGCAGCTTGTTATTGTCGACTTGCTTTCTGTCTACCGCATCAGGCAGGTGAGTTTCTGACTAGACAGGGGAAAAAATCACTCAGAATCTGGCAATTCACAGTGGGGGTCTCATGTGACCCCCGGTAGGCAGAGATATCTGACTGTTCTGTATCCATAGCAACCATCCTGCCTTCCTCATGTACCCAGAACATCACTCCACCCACCTCCAAAAGCCTCAGATTGCGTGTCTGATGGTCTTTCTGCCTGCCACAGCCGTGTACCAGTCCGAGGGGGTACCCTCGCTGTACTGGGAGATGGGGGTTGGGTCACTCAGATTAAAACACTAGTCTTCAGTACTTCTGATAGCAAGTACAGGAAGTTGTAGCTTCTTGGAGGATGATCTGGGTAGATGTCAGAGTCGGTTTGGCTGAAAGCTTCAGCATCATTGTTTGCTGGTTGGAGATGTAATTTAGATGTAGTACCGGAGACCAGAATAAAATGATGGGGATATTAAGCCTGTTATCTGTCACACACCTGTGCAGCTATGACGTGCCACGGTTCACGGGGGGAGATTTGAGTTTGCAGCCGCTGAGTGCTTTTGCGGCCTACACTGCCAGCTGTCCCGCACAGGCCGGGCACGGCACCCTCTGGAGGAGGAGCTCAGCGTTGCTTTCACAGTGATTGATCAGGCCAGACAGGGCCTTGTCAAGTTCAAAGCCTCTGTATCGACTGACCTGTCTAGGAGGGGACCCCTGTCTACTGGCAGTCCATCATGATCATGGCTGCCATGGGATGAAGAGGGAGATGCAGCGGTGCTTGTATTTAGGGGACGGGGGCCTGGGTGGTAGTAACTTTTTGGCTGGTGAGCTGGGTTTCCAGGAGGTTTGTAACCTTTTCTTTCATGCCTGCAAGTGATTAGAATAAGACAGCAGTCATGCAGGGTATTCCTCAATCCCCTGTTGGGTACCCTACCCAACAGGGGATTGAGACGCTGCAGACTGAAGTTGGTTCCACTTCCTGGAAGTTTGCAAAAACAAGTAATTCTTCGGCATGTTGTGTTTTGGCTCCAGTAACCCCCCCCCCTCCCCTCCTCCCCCAATCTTCTAAACTGCCAGGACTGGACATAAAATGAACCCGTCAGATTGTGGGCAGGGATCAGGTGTTGCATCTTGAATTGTTCCAGTCCAATTCTCTTCTGCACACTCGGGGAAAATTATAGATCTCTTTTGATAAATGTACCGGTCAAGCAACAAAGCGATGCCATTCTGTGGGGCTCATGAAACGAGTGCAGATAAATAACTTCTCACTTTGCAGACGGCTTTTGTTGTAAGTGAATTTGCAGGTATAGAGCAGCAGGTGCCTCACAACAGGGAAGGCGCGGGCGTGAGTCACTGTCTTCGTGCCTCAGGTCCATCTTCCAATATCCTTTGGACTTTTGATTATTCCATTAGTCAACCCTCCCATGCAGATACCCCGCCCCCCGGTACTGCCAACCGCTTTTGTGGGTGAGGAGCATAAAGTATTTGCTGTCACCATTTAGTCAGTGTCTCTCAAAAATGTAAGCACGGCTTGTCCATATTATAAGGACATACAGACAAAGACCCCTCCCATTGGAGGTACTGAATTTTGTCCCCGCCTCCACCTTGGGTGATTGGTCACTGTGTGAGCAGTACAGGAATCCATGGCTAAAGCGCTAATGGCCATTACTAAGAGTGCATGAATGATCTATCTGTCTTAAATCAATCAATACATTTCTGACGAGCTAACACGTAATGATATTAAAAAGCCTCATTTTCTTCACATTATCGACTATGCATAAGAGGCCGGTTGAGTTGGATCGAAGTGATTTTTTTTTTGCCCTATCACTGCAGGAAGATAACGTTAGGTGAATGGAGGAGCGTGAGTCATACTGATCGCCAGTGGTGATTTTCAGGTAGCTTTGCTGTAGACACGGGATGTGCTTCTAGAATCATTAGGATTGAGGTGGGAGAGACAGCTGGTAAAATATTTAGGCTTTATTAAACTTTGATTCGAACATGAGGGCAGAGACAGAGTGAGGGATGGTGGAAGGAGAAAAAAATCTATTTTAGTGCAAATGTGGGTCTTTAATTACAGTCAGCACCCCCTTCCCCACCCTCAGGACAGGAAGGATGATTTGACATAAGCAGAGCTTGTGGGGACGAGGACCAGAAGGTGTTTGAATGTCCTCTTTCCTACTCCTGCATTGAGGTGCTGACCAGTTGGACAGCGGCGGAGAGCTGGGCCCGGTGGGGGCCCGGTGGAGCCCCGACAGGCAGTTTGGTGGCATGTGGCTGACAGGCGGCCAGTGCGCCCAAGATGCGACGTTTCAATTATCGACGGCCAACACACTACTGTGAGCGAGTCGCCGTGGAGACCAGCTGTCGGGCTGAGAATTGAGTCTCACCACGGCCAGTGCTGTGGAGACGAAATGCCTCACAGTGGTGCCACCTTCCCCCATAGGGGTTCACTTTGACCGCATTTTACGGCACACTTCATCCTGTCCGTGTGAGTAACGCACTGTGGAATTTCGGATCGTGTTCCGGACGGGGGAAACATTTCCCCCTCGTCATTGTCACCCAGGAGAGAGGCATGGCTGGAGATGGATGTCTAGATGACGGAGGCGTTTGGACGCCATGCCCGGATGCTCCCGTCTGCAGGCATTTCCGTTCAGCAGCACTAAGGGGCATTGCAATCTGGGGTGCTTCCGTTCGGACACAGTGCCGCTCCTAACAGCATCACATACGGCCCTGGGTTCTGGCCTCATCAATCGTGGTGTGCCACTATGGGGGGGGGGCAACAAGGGACAGGCACACACACACACGGCCTGGCATGGATGGCGGGAGCACGGAGGGGTGAATGACAGGGATAACAGCCAGCTTGGAAAAGATGAAACCAACTGCCCCCCAAAGCACTCTCCACAAAGAGGACACAGAACTGCTGTTCATTTGTAGTGCTGCTCTGACATTTGGAGGCCGATCTCTGATGGGCTTGTGCTCACGTCCTGTCTTAGATCAGGACCTCCATTAAGGCGCAATCTGCAGGGCTCTGCATGTATTTTTAGCCCTCTTCATCTCATGCTGCATCCGCGTGCCCTTTTTCCATGTCCACTCGAGGCCGACCCTCTTTATTTTTTGTTCCCATGCGGCGTTTCATCGCGCATCTCCCCGAGCACAGGCTTGCGGCAACGGAGAGCTCCGCTCTTTATCACGACCAAAGTGTCGGCAAGCAGACAAAGAAAAAAAGAAGAAGAAGATGGAGTTGTGGAAGGCTTTGGTATTGATTGCTTGGTGTGCTATCTGCTATTCCTGCTGATGTGTTGTACGCTTGCCGCAGAGGGAGTGATAACAGATCACATGGGGGAGAGGAGCTGTTTAAGGGAAGTGTTCAGGATGGGATTCCACCGTGTGAGTGAGCGTGTTTGCCCGAGGCTGTCTTAGTGCAGGATTTCCAGGGTCCCTAAACCGAATGCATCTCTCTGGCAGCTTTTTTATGCTTAGAGCTTGGTGGTGCCACTGAGAAAAGGACTGTTGCTTCTTGATCTGCTCTGCTTCCTTTGTCCGAGTGAGACGTCCTCTGAGTGTAAAAGCTGGATGAATTTAGCCACCAGGTCGTGACCTTGTGCTGCAATCGGAGCCGCTCAGGCTCCATGGATCCACTGTCGCTCCGTACAGGCTGGGGACATTAATCAGAATCTCCTAATAAAAGAACAAAGTGATACAGTACATTATGCACGAATATAGTTTGACAAAAGTGCATTGATTGTTTTAATAATGGACCATAACAAATCTCTCTATTGATAACATGTTGTCTCCTTGACGATCTCCTTGCAGAACCTCGCAGCAAACCATGGTGACACCGGGTGACATTCTTTAACGCTTGCCAGCGAGTGACCCGAAATAATAGACTAGGTCTAAAAATAGGCGCCGCATCACAGTGACCCTGTGATGGTAATAATGATCAAAGCCAACCCCCCTTGAAATAGATTGTTTTCATCTGGAGTTGACCCTAGGAGCTAGACGAGTGGGGGACTCAGTTGGCTCTCTGACACCATGACGGAGAAGCTGCACCCGTAGCCTGTCCAATTAATTACTGTAATTGGCATCATTTCTTGCTTCTAGGGCAGTTGAATGTGACACCAGCCTGACTGGGCTAAATGCCCTGGCCTCATGTGACCCATTCAGCTCTGCCTGCAGGTCTCTTTATCACCCCCTAGTGGTTGTTTTGTTCAAGGTCATGCACCCCATGTCCCATACGTTCCTCTAACGATGTGTTTGCTGTGCTGGGTGGGAGTTGGAACACGTGCCGGCTGTCGTTTCTGTTCCCGCCGCCTTGCTGCCTCTGAAGCACGCTAACCGCCGACTGACATGCACTGCTGGAGGGCCTGACCTCCCTCCTACACTGCCAAATTCATGCTCCCCAAATCCCCCTTTCCATGAGAACTCAGTATACATGCTGGCCTGGAAATTGTGGCATGAATCTCATATTTGCATTGTCAGAACATCGTCACATCGGAGGAAATATGAGTGACAGAGCTGTCATCTCCCCCTCTCTCTATGTCTCCCCCTCTTCCCCACTCTTTTCTCCTCCCTATCACCCTCTTTTCCTCCCTATCACCCTCCCCCTCTTCCAGAGCCGATGCGGCCCTTGCGGGGCCTGACCGCCACCGAGATCCAGGCGCGGCAGCTGTCGCTGCAATGGGAGACACTCGCCTACAACCTGACCCGCTGCCACACCTACTCGGTGTCCCTGTGCTACCGCTACTCCATGGCGGCGGGCAGCGGCGGGGCTGGCGGGGGCCACAACGCCACGGTGCGCGAGTGCCTCGCTGTGGAACACAACGTGTCGCGCTTCACGCTGCGCGACCTGCCGCCATACCGCGCCATGCACGTGCGCCTCACGCTCTCCAATCCCGAGGGAAAGAAGGAGGGCCGCGAGGTCACCTTCCAGACCGAGGAGGACAGTGAGTAACATGCCGGTGTCCCGCCCCTGACATGTGACCCGCCCCTTAGAGGAAGCCCAGCCCCTTGATAAATGATAAATCCTTTATTTGCCATTTGCACAAGTATGAGTATGAATGCTTCCTCTTCACCTACCTAATCTTGCTCTAAATGGTCACAGTGCAGGGTCAGCCAATGTGCAGCACCCCAGGAGCTGCGGGTTAAGGGCCTTGCTGAAGGGCCCACGGACATGTGACTGTTCTGCCGAGGCTGGGACTCGAACTGGCAATCTTCCAATCACAAGCACAGAGACTCATGCCACTGAGTCACTCAACATCTCCTTTGAAAAGTTCAACTATCAATAATCATGTCTCGGATAGACCTCAGGCTACGATGCCGCCACTGAGCAAAGCTCGTTCCAGGACCCCCGTCATCTTCACGCGACTGTGTTCCATAACAATCATTTAGATGCACGCATGAGGCATATTTAGGCTGGATTTGCGTCTGGCACCTGCTGGCTTGAATACTTTACCCAAGCGATAATGACTTAGAGAGACGGGGACTGCGCGGTGTGCAAGGTGCTTAAGCTGAAGCACCTGCATTAATGTCAAGCCAGAGGAATGGCTTATGAGTCGTCAACTGATAACGCCACATAATTTCTGCAGCAGACAGCGTCGGCCACGAAACGACACGATGTTCGAGGCTTTTATCGTGCAGGACTCCCCGAGAAGACAAAGATTTTCAGTTTTTTTTTATGCCCGAAGAAAGTTTAGCTGTTGGGGTCCACAGCGTGACCCTGATCGTGACAGAGTAAATACTAATACTGCGGTGTCCCGTACATGCAAGCTCAGCACAGCCCCCCGGTGAGAGCGCTACGAGGCTTCATCCGAGCAGTAGCTGGGGCACCTCCAGAGGGTCCGCGGCATCAGCAGAACTGGCTGACGACTGCAGAATTAGTCATGCCGCTATTGGAAACGGCGGAGGCAGAAGAAGAAACGTGGAAAAAGCTTGTTTCTCCAAAATGCTTGTCTTCACATTAATCGTCAAACATGAACCGCAGAAGTGGGATAATTGATTCCCAGATGGTCATGCCCGTGGCCCTGTGATCGAAATATAAACAAACGTGTTGACTTTAACAAAAAAGAGGAGGAGCCAAGAATGTTCACGTGCTGCCCACCAATCAGCAGCTCTCCCTCAGCTGCCATCATGAAAACCTTAAGAGAGGTAAATGAATGGCTGCTGTCTCTGTGGAGGAACAGGAATAGAAGCCCCTGCAGTGAGGGGGGGGGGGGGGGCTGGTTCTCTGTTCGTTTAGCTGGGCTTGACGGCTCCTCACACTCTACACTGGTTTTAATGGACCCAGCCCTTGGCTGCTATGTCTTTGATGGTTTATCACCTCTTCTGCACTGTAACCCTCTGGTGATTTTAGCAAGATGGTTGAGCTCAGATTGAGTGGGTGGAGTCAAGCTGGCAGCAGATCACAGCAGATCACCACAGATCACCACAGATCACCAGTCACTCAGTCCCATTTCCTTGCCTTCCCAACCATGCTGACACTTCATGAGCATGCTTGCAGTGACTTGGGATTTCATGGCACCTGGGAACTCCATCACCTGCTCCCCCCCAGCCCCGCTGTCCTCCTAACATGCCCCCTCCCACCTCATGCTGGAAGGCATCCATCACCCTTGTCTTCACACCTCCATTGCTTTGACAGATAATACCCCTGGGAAGATTAATGCCCCCCTAAGCCTCTGGTTTCACGTCGCACAGCCCTACGCAGCCCCCCTCACCGATGAAAGTCCAGCCAGGTGCGGGGTAAATGATAATCTGCGTCTCTGGTCATTTCACAAAAGGAAAAAAATGGCCTGGATGTGCTAATCAAATTTTATTCATGTCTTTCCCGTGAAAACAATAAGATAGAGTCAAAACGTCACCTTTAATGGAGCAGTAGAACGATTAGACCATGTCTTTTTTGGCACAGTATGTCTTCACAATCCTTTATTCGTAAGTCACACTTAATTTTGGAATAAAGGTTGTTTAAGTTACCCATTTCTGTGGCTAGATCTCTAGCTCCAGGTGCCTGGTGTTGAAAGAAAATCAAATCAGAGACACACGGGGGGCTGGAGCGGTGACCCCGCCGCTTCTGGGGGTCCCTCTCCTGCTGTCTCAAATGACCTGCTCCGACTTTCAGCCAAACGGGCCCCTCCCTCCAAGATGAGTCTGCTCTAACAACCAAAGCACTGAGGAGAAGTGACACTCTCTCACCCTGCCTCTTTTTCCCCTTAACCTCAGTAGTTTCTCACTCTTTGGCCCCATCTGCGCACTCTTCTCTGTAAACACACGGGTGGGCGCCCCCCCCAGAGGGTTATATGCTGTCAGCCCCTCCCTCACAGCAAGCACCTGTCTGTTTTTCTCCTCCGCCACAGTTCCTGGCGGCATTGCCCCGGAGTCGCTGACCTTCACCCCCCTAGAGGACATGATTTTCCTGAAGTGGGAGGAGCCTGTGGAGCCTAATGGACTCATCACCCAATACGAAGTGAGTCCCTGGGGCCAAAAAGCTCAGTAACTCACCCGCAGGCTCTGGCTGCCAGCTGAACACCTTACTGTGTGCCTTAATGCTAAAACAAGTAGGTCGGCCTGCCTGGCATCTCAGGCTGCCTAAAGATCACGTTAGATCGCTCACTCAGGGGGCAGGGTAAATGCTCGGTAAGGGGTGTTTTCCGCATTGCATAGGTGAGCGAGGTCGGGAGGGTGGGGGTGGGGGGTGTGATGAGACTCATTTGAGCTCTCTGTGATGATGTGCCTTGAGGGACCTAATCAGGGTTGCCAACTCTCATACATCTGGCTTTCAGACTCGTGCAAAAAATCTTACGGCATTATAAATCTATAGATAGTTACATCAAAAGCATTGGGGTAGTTTTCAAACCCTACAGACTAATTAGAAGGTAATAAAACTGTTACATACATGTAAATGCATGTGCAGACTTGTCTCCAGTTGAAAATCTCACGCCAGCCAGCTGACCTAAGTTGGGAACCCTGCTGACCTAAGTTGGGAACCCTGCTGACCTAAGTTGGGAACCCTGCTGACCTAAGTTGGGAACCCTGCGCACCGTGCTGCCCCCCATCCTCCGCTCTCCTTAGAGGACCTTGCGTCTCCCTCAGCACCCACTTCTCCAGCAGTAGAATGCAATTAAGTGGGATCTGTGGATTGACATGTAAAGTGGCGACTGAGCCGGATTCTCTCAGTGTAACTTGCTGATCTCCCTCCAAGTGGAGAGGGAGGAGCTTCACGCAGGCACTGAGAAATCCTTTCATTTCTGCTAGATTAAAGCATCGACTGCCTCGCGATGATCGACCGCGAGTCTTTGGTCCCTTGTGCTCCTTCTGGTTGCCATTATCTATCAGCTTTTTTTTTTTTAGCTCCTTTGTAGAAGCAATTTAACTGATTCTGTGAAGAGCGAATCCTCATGTTATCGCAAACATCCAGGCCTCATGCTCTCAACTTAATGCATAGGTGTGCGGTCGGCCTCAGCTGCAGGCTTCGAGCTCCACCGGAGCCCCCTCCTACCGGTGCCTCCTCAGCAAACGTTAAAGGGAGATTTCCCATAATGCACCTGGAGTGGCCTGCTGCAAGTCTGGAGTGAAGAACAGTTTTGATGTAAAAACCATAACCTGTAAACATATTCTTAGATAAGATAATCTAATAATTAGTCATTTAAAACACAATCGTTAATGTATGCATCGTAAACAAACAAATTGAATTAAGGTAATTTTTCTTGTAGCTGATTGTTAGAAGCTGATTGAGTGCTGTAATTATCATTCTGAGAAATCAGTGAATTCTGGCCGGAATGATGTTTAAACTCAAAAAACGAAGATTTCCACAAGCAGCGACACTTTCCCCAGGCTGTTGTCTAAGCATTTGGCTGTAAGAGATGGAAACTAACGGTGACTCAAAACAAAATACAGGCAATTACAGCTGTATCAAAGCAAAAAGAGCAGCTGTTGTCATGCTTTCAAATGGCATGGTCACTCTGAGAAGAATGAGCACCAAGCTCCCAGCTCCATAAAACCTAGTGATATTTCTTCAGATGATCTGGTGATTGTGAACACAATGCCTGAACTTGACCCTAGTTGGATTTTCAGGTTGTGTATTCTAATGGTTCGGCTTCTAATAAATTATTAAAGAGAAGATAAATTGGACCACAGTAATTACCAAAGCATTAGTGAAGGAATTGTCAAAGGCTGTTACATACAGTCCTACTGAAAACGCCGATTTAGTCTGTCTGATTATGCTATTCTCAGATGTTGGTTGCTGTAAGCACTCACAGTTCAGAATCTGTGCACACCTTCAAGCTCCTCATGAATTTAACAAAGAAGAGGTTTTGTATATCTTAGATACTTCAAAAAGGCACCGCATTACACTTCCTGCTATGCTATAATGATTATATTCAAGTCACGTGGGACGAGAGTTTACAGAATCATTAAATGGGTGTATTTGGATAATATCTGCCTGTGGTTCATGTTTGCATCCAAGGGTTAGCAAGTCATCTGGAACCATCTCACACCCTGGCGGTAAACCAGATCCTCTGACTAATGATATTTCCTGAAATGGGGCCAGATGTCAAGGAATTAGTTGAATCTCTTTTGGGCAAGACTGCCCCCAATAACCTACAATTGTGCCCAAAGGGAATAGATGAAACAAGCTGTGCAAAAAAATAAATATACAATTATGGCAGCTCCAGACTATTTGTGAGTGTCATTCAGTCCATTACATTATACAAAAGCAAGACCTATTACAGTCAAAAAAACAAATAAATTAAGTGGATCACGTATCCAGCAGGATCCTTCTGAAGCCACGAATAAAAGCTCCAAATAAGGAGATCAAAACAGGGTTACGCAAATAACCTCAGTGATAATGAATATCTGACGAAAAAGTACTATAGACCGAAGACTACAAAAGCAATTCAGGTCAAATTCCTGAGAAACATTGTAATTAATGGCATTGAGGAGGTGGTGGATAGAGTTTTGGAAGGGATTTGCTCACTCAGAGTCATTTGGTAGCGAGGCTGAGAAATCCACAAATAGAGGCGATCACCACTAACCATTCGCAGACACACACACGGTAAATATCTTTGTGAGTCACACCAAAACTTCCAGGAACATTAAGGTAAGCAGAGGGAAGGAAAAAAAACACACACTCAAGACTGTATTGCAAGGGAACCCTGAAGAGACTGAAACTTTGTGAAAGTTTTCTTCGGAATCAGACTCTGGAATCAGCGCTGAGGAGAATTCTGGTCAGGTTCAGGTGTTTGTGAAACCAGCCTGACCAGAGAGAGAGAGAAAAAGAGAGAATAGATACCTGCCACTGTGCTGTGGGTGAGACAACCACCCCACACATACAAAAATAAACACTTGGATCATTCTTGTATTCGTTTTGTGACACCTGCTGTACGTAATGGTGCATGGTCGTTGTCGTGAAAGTATATCTGCGTTTTAATTTGGGTGGCAGTATGTGGAGGACGTCCAGGGTTAAGAGATGGTTTCCTGCCCCTGACTGTCTTTGTGTGGAATATTTTTCAGGGTGGGCTGATGTCTCTAGACCAGTGTTTCCCATTCTGGCCCTGGAGGACCCACAGTCAGTCCATGTTTTTACTTCCTCTGAGCTCCCTGCCAGACAGTCCAAAAAACGTGGACCGTCTGTGGGTCCCCGGGGACTGGATTGGGAAGCACTGCTCTAGACGCCTGTAGTATGTGAGTGCATACAGTGCCATTGGTCGCCATTCTGTCCAGCTTGTCCAGTGCCTTCTGCTCTGTACTTCCTGCATAGACACTGGGCTTCACAATGACAATTGGATAAGTAGTATGGAAAACAGAGGGATTGATTGTTCTTGTGTTTTCCGCTGTTTCCATCTAAATTTTCTTTTTTTATTGAGCAGATGGATACAGATCCTAACATTATCTTTCATCAGCTGGCATGGCTAGCAGTAAATTCACAGCTGTAGAAACGGTTTTATTGAGCTTAGCGTGCCTGTGAGTGTTAGCGACTGACTGTCAGGGTCGCTCTCTTCGCTGCGCAGATCAGCTATCAGAGCATCGAGTCATCAGACCCCGGGATCAACGTGCCAGGCCCACGCCGGACTGTCTCCAAGCTCCGCAACGAGACCTACCACATGTTCTCCAACCTGCACCCGGGCACCACCTACCTGATCTCCGTGCGCGCCCGCACATCCAAAGGCTTTGGCCAGACCGCCCTCACTGAGATTACCACCAACATCTCCGGTGAGCGTGTAGCCGCGGCCTTACCCGGGGGGAGCTGTGGGCGCTGGGGATGACGCCGGCACTGGGGCAATCACGCGGAAGAGGTGGGAAAACGTTCAGTCAGGCAGATGCACAAAAACAAGGAGGCAGTGAGACTAATGAAGCTAGAACACATTGCTGATCACACAGAGCAGAGCGGCCGGCGCAGAGCACACAGGGTGTGTGAGGAACACTGTTCTCCTGCCTTATCTGCCAGCTTCTCTGAAAAGTAACGCTTGTGTGTGACGGGAGCCCACGTGAGTCTCCTGTTTCCACTGACATGAGTATATTTAGGGAACCAGGAACAAGAACTCCTGATAGCGGATTTTTCATTAAATAAACCCTGTTCGCGTCTCAGTACCAGGAGTGCATTGAATTGGACGAGGGCTCCTTAATTACGGACCTGGGGATTCAGGCTGCGGGATGTTGAACAGAATTTCCAAGAGTGACGGTTCCCTGCCGGAACACAGAGCGCTTTCCAGCTTCTCACAAAGTGACATTACTGGGACATGAAGGTTTGACTGATGGATATCTCGGGCTTTTAACCTTTTTTACGGCCGGTGGGTGCGTGAGGCGCGCTTGAGCGGTGTGCAGTGCTGCCAAGACAGGCCTGGAATGAGAAAACAGGCAAACCCGGGCCAGTTATGAGTCACGCCGTCTCCTCCCTAAACCGCGCAATGCCGGCGCTTCTGCCGCGGCTGCCAAAACGTGCCGGCCGTGTAAATCCGTCCCGATGTAAGTTTGCCTTTTCAGCGACGCCACGATATGCGAGTCGCTTAGTTAAACCGTGAAGGTGAGTATGAAGTGTCCTTAATTTAATGATACATGGCTTTGACATTAGAGAAGGCAATTACTGTCCAAATATGCTTTAAAGGGACATTATACGGACAAAAATAAAATGTGAAAATCTTAAGCTGAAAATGGAAGCCCCAAGGTGGACTTCAGTCCAAAATAGCAGTGCAATTCTGCGGAATATACTGCTAAATATCTTTTTTTCCTGTATTTCTTCTCTTCAATGGAATAAGCCACCCCAGAAGTCTAATCTTTCAGGAGTTTCAATCTTCCCAGCAGTTTAATTTTCAGGACTGAACCAAGACTGAACGGTTAACAAGGCAGATCTGTAATTGGAGGGTGACTGCCGATAGGCTGGTCTGTTTCTCTGTGACGTTTCGGTGAGTTTCTCCCCGTATGTCAGGGCCACCACGTCTGTGTTCATCTTCCCGTACAACTGATCGCCAGTGTCCTCAATTGTGATTCTTCCTCCACCAGCCTCCATCCTATGTGCCCCTCCCCCGATAATCACTTTTCACCACCCTCAGGCCTGCAGTAAACGAAAAGTCATTTCCAAAAAGCCCGTAGGTTTTTTTTCCCCCTGAATGTTTGATCATACCTCAAGCATCCCTGAGTCATTACAGCCCTTGGTGTAAGACGTGCCTCATAGCAGTAAGCTCTTTAATCCTGGCTGCTACTGAGGCAGTGCCCCCCCGTTACCGGCAGTGCTGTGGATGAAAGTCCGTTTCCGGCCAGCATTCTGCCAGACCCCCTCTACCCTCCCACGGCGCTACCACCCCCCCCACCAGTGACTGACAGGCCCAGGTCGCCCAGAGCGATGCCCTCAGTTTCAGCTCCCGCTGTTCCACCGCAGAACCGGCATAAATCCAGGATCCGGGTTGCCATGGCGCTTCCCGCCGAGGCTGCGCAGTTCATTAGACGGTTATGCTTTTATTAATGCGACCGCAGCTGCGGGCACCTGATCCCGACAGCCACTGGGTGCAGAGCGTACACAGGGACGTGGTAGCTTCCGGTCACCGTTCCGGTCACACTGTCACCGTGTGCCCGCCGATCTCCGGGGTGCGGGCAGCGCCGTCACCCCAGAGCTGGGCGACAGTCAAGCAGGCCACAGGAAGGGGGGGCAGCAGGCGAGGCCTATTCTGCTGTGGCAGGTGCAGGGAGGCCGCGGGGTATTTACGCTGGGGAGCAGACCGCGTGTACGCATCTTCTGTTACGGTGTCTGCTGTTACGCATCTTCTGGGACAGGGATCCAGGCAGGCATCTCCTGGATCACGGTCAGAGAATGTGAAGTGGAACAAAGGCTCACTCGGGCCCCCCTTATCCATGTCACTGCCTCTCCGCTGGTGGCACCAATACTGGGGTGGTACACAGGGGAAGCTAGCTTAGGCGCTGGGGGCTGCAGAAACTGACTGGCGGCGCTGTTAAGTGCGCTGATCACCTCCCATTTCTGCTGCCCTGTCAGCTGAATTCCGAAGCCTTGGATTAACGTCTTAATTATTGATTCCTTTGGATTCGCTTCCTCTCACTAATTGACTACCGATATTAAACAGTAATCAGGGTAGTTCTGCCTTATTGCTCAGTGTTGCTCTCTGGTGATCTGCGAGACTCGCCCCACAATCCCTTTACAGCGAACCAGTCACACCCGCTCGCTTTTAATTGCATTCTGAGCCAGTACCTGCAGGAAGCCTGAAGGAATAAAGAACGTCAGGATATTAAAGGGAAGTGCGCAGTTATTTAAAGGGGATGTCTGGCATGCGATTTTTATGTGGCAGTTGCGGACATATGAGAGCGTCTGCTTGTCCTTGCAGCTCCCGCCTTTGACTACGGGGACATGCCCTCCCCTCTGAGCGAAACAGAGAATACCATCACCGTGCTGCTCCGCCCTGCCCAGGCCAGGGGCGCCCCCGTCAGGTGAGGCCAGGAGGTTGTTCGAACCCTAGTTTCTGTCCTGATTAAGTAATTTTACTGAGCCTTACTATCACTTTCCCTGTGGTAACATTAGTATCAACTTTGTCACATTTTATTAGTAAAAAAAAACAGCTCTCGGAACATGAAGATAACTGCCAGTATTTCATGTAGACCTTGATAAGGAAACTCCATAATGAATAACTGCTGGTGTATGATTACAGAGATTTCTGGAATTAATGTCTCTGAAAAGTCACATCTCAAGGTTGTAAAATAGGAAAAAACAACTTGGCTGACATTCAAACTTCAGTCAAGATACTGATTTAATTTCTCTGTTTCTTGTGCTTGGATCACGGTATGTTGCTGCTTGTGTTTGACGCGATCCCCCTAGTGGTGCATTGTGGATAGTGCGCCTGGCTCAGAAATCAAACCTGCAGCTGCCAGTGTCCATCCTCCACTTGTCTGTGCTCTGCTCCATCCACAGCACGTACCAGGTGGTGGTGGAGGAGGACAGCACCCGGAAGGTGAAGCGGGAGCTGGGGCCGCAGGACTGCTTTCCGGTGGCCTCATCCCACAGCGAGGCTCAGGCCAAGGGGGCTCCGCACTACTACACGGCCGAACTAGCACCCAGCAGCCTCCCAGAGGCCACGCCCTTCACCGTGGGGGACAACCACACCTACAACGGCTACTGGAACACTCCCCTTGACCCCAGGAAGACCTATCTGATCTACTTCCAGGCCATGAGCAACTTCAGAGGAGTAAGTAGCTGCTGGTAGAAAAGTGAGAGGCTGAACATAGATCGGCAAGAGCAGTTTGTGCATTTGTGTAAGAAGACTTGACACAAAGCACACTGCCAAATGTCAGCTAATACACATCAGCCTGTTCAGGATAAAGAAAAACAGAATAATTTTGACTTAACTTCCAGTCAAAAAACCCAACAAATATTTGAAATACATAGTAAATTATCATCCATCCGTCAATCCATCCTCCATTATCATACCTGCTTATACTATGCAGGGATCAAATTATAGTAAATATTTAATATGGAAAGCAAATTATAGTAAAGCCCGGCACTGTGTTTCTGCACCTGCATTTCGATTTTCCAGGGCACACATCAGAGTTCAGAAAATAATTACCGCAGATCGTTTTAAAGCAATGCGGTTTCAGAAAGTGTGGGGCACATTCGAGGCTTTTGTTTAATCTGCTATGGACTAAGGGGCGTCTTTCATGCTGTTGACCTCCGAGAGCTCCTTCGAGAGAACGGAGAGCCGGTTGCCAGCGTGCTCCACTATGTGGGCAGCGCTGTGTACTGGAGCTGTAGCCAGGACTAGATAATTGGTTGTGTTGATAACAGGATGGAGGCGTAGGGCGAAGAGAAGCGGGAGCGTCATATGCCTTTCGGAGAGAGTTCTCAGCTGCAGAGTGTGTGATGGTGGGTGGCTGGAGTGTTACTGTTCGACCTCAGATGCATTGCTGAGAGGCATTGCCTTCTAGTGCCTATAGGCAACTGCTGGAAGCTTTGGACCAATCGGGAGAGTGCGGCGAGGCAAGAGCTCCTCCCCCCTCTGCCAATCCTACAGATGCTGGGGCGTGTCAAGGCAGCTGTGCAAACAGCAGAGTTAACACAGCAGCTAGCTGGCATCCCTGTGACCCCGTAAGCGCCCCCGGAGCAGCTGGCGGGCACGATGCACACGTACTGACGGAGCTTGATTTGGCACTGGTGCAGCAGGCTGCATAAATCAACAGTACACAAATGCCTGGTGGAGTGGGGGGGGGTATAGCTACTGAGGATCTTCTTGAAATTCTCTGGGCTGCGTAGTTTGATTGAAGGCTCTGCACGCTGAAAAGCCTGTGGGGGCTGGGTGTTCACCATCACTGGAAACACAGGAGAGATTGCTTCTCAAAAAGAAGCGGGAAAACTCGGCTTTTAAGGGCCAGGTTGAGTGGCAGAGCCTTAACTCAACGTCATCTCAGTCCTGGAACACGCTCAATCTTCCTGGGGGCTTCTACAGAATGAGCCTTTCTGGCTCACGGCATCACGCCACCTGTAGAGCCTGGTCATTCTGCTTGAATCTGGGGTCAAAAGTGAAGTGGAAAGAGCATTTAATGCGACGCTGCATATTTCATTTTGTGCATGAGGCTGACAATGCTGCATTACTGGTTTGCTTCATCCCAAACGCTCGATTGTCATTGACCTCAGTGACTCAGGTGCTTGGCCTTAGGATGTCTATGAGTGTGTCTCCACCACTGTGGTAGATAGACTCAAAGTGGTTGACACCTCAGCGGCCAAAAACACATTTTGTAACATCATGCTGCTGCGCAGGAGGTGAAAACTGGGTACTCTAGATGTCTAGGTGTGTATTAACTTTAGCTATATGCTCTATAGCTCACTGTGTAGCTCCATGACCATTTAATGTATAGCTTCAAGCTCCCAGCTGCAAACTCAGAGTCTCGCTTGTCAATGATGAAACAAGGAGCTGTTAACCAGTGTGGATACAAAAGGTTTCTGAATAATTGGTCCCTGATTTTTGTGTTTTTGTTTTGCTCCGCTAAGATTGATCAGGTTCATCTCATCTAGGAGTAAAGCAGTCAGTATTGTTTCTGTTGTCTGTTAGACTTACTGCACTATACACAGAGTTCCTTCTCTCTCGGTCTCTGTTGCTCTCTCTCACTTTCTCTTTCTTTTACATGAAATGCACATAAATACAGCTGGGTAATCATGCACGCATTCAGATTCTCTAACAGTATGTTCTAGGAAAAACAGACTCAGTGCCGCAGTCCATAAGGTTGCTGCAGACGTCTGTCCACATGCTGCCGTTACCGGGCAGAGGGAGGGGTTTGCCGTCCTGGTGCCCCCCCCCCCCCCCCCCCGGCTCGGAGCTGGAGGCCAGCTAATTAACTCCACTTCCTGCCACTTCTGGGCCGCAGTGCCCGAGTCGCGGACAGCAGCGGTGATCTGTCATGATTCGGCTCCCTTGCTGACTTGTCATATACTGCGAGTGCCTCTCTAGCTGGGTGTTTTATTTATTTATTTTTTATTCTCCCTTTTCGGCTGCTCACACGGGGATGTTTGTAATTCATCCGTTAAACACGGGGTAGCTGACAGGCCTTGCGTGCGAGGGCTCGCACACGTAGGCTGGTGGGTTGGATTCAAGGATGCAAGTCAGTGTCTGCGTTATTTGTTCCTTTCAAGTGCTACAAAAGCTGATCGCTAGGCCCCTCCCCTTTTATTTGTCTCTTTGTGCTCACTGGGTGAGTCAGGGTTGATTGACATCTGTCACATCCAATGACAAAGTCTGATGTATTCTCATTTATGTGTGTAGTATTTCCCCCATAAGTCTTTCTTCAGGTGGGATGGCGAATTGAGCCACATGAGATGGAGGATGGCAGGAAGCAATGGGGGATTTTTTTGGGGCCGGGTGGTGATGGATTTTACTTAACTGTGAGGGACGTTAAAACAGAAGGCAGCTGCTTGGATGTCAGCAGGTGGTGTCAGGGCGTGGAAGCGCTCCGGGGAGGCTTGGGGGGTGTCGGCGGGTCGTGGGATGTGAGGAAACAAAACTCCTTGGAATTACAATTAAAAACCAGGTGAAATGAGCTACTGTTGCCTGACTTTGACCCATATAAAGTCAAACACAGTAGGACTATACAGCTGTAATGCTGGTCAGGTGGTATGGTTGGGATTCTGGGAAAATCATGCGCTTTTCTATAGCCGATGAAAAAGTCTCCCAGGTAAAGCTGGCTTGTCATTTAAAAATAAGGCAAATTGCTGCATTTTCAAAAATGTGCTTTTCTCTTCTGGGGGTAGCAGATATGGGCATGTCACAGAATTAGTGTGTCTGAATGTGCTGAAGGGTATTCCTGCGAGGGGGCCGCATAAAAGCTTCCGTCTCAGTCTCTCTTTGTATGAAAACGTGCCGACAGTGATTGGTGTGAAGCTGGATCTCTGTGTTGTGGCCTGTGCCTCTCCAACGCCACTAAATCACACCTGACTGCTGTTTTTCCTTCCTCTTTCAGGAAACGAGGATAAACTGCGTCCGCATCGCCCGCAAAGGTAACTCGGCGCCTCCGTTACGTAATATGTTTGTGTCAACACCGTGTTTTTTGAGCTGCCTACACCCCCCAAAGCACGTCGAGCCTCCCTCATTGAAAAGACATATAGAGGCACCGCTGGCTCTCGCCAAATTGATGCCCGGTTCCCTGACGGAAGATCAGCCCCCCCGGTGTAATTGGGTAAATAAGTCCTGGTGCAATCACTCAAAACCCCCATGTGTATGATGAGTGTTCAACACAAAATAGCTTCTGTACGTCAACCAGGTCTAAATGAACTACTCCCTCCGCAAGCAAAGTTAATGGCTATGGAATCCCCCAGATGAAAGGTTCTGTATAAATGTAATCCATTATCATCATTATTGTTATTATTCTTAAATAATAACAAATTAAATAAAAAAATTCTGAACTGTCGGGCGGCAATCTTAATTACTGGGGCTGGCTTCAGGGCCCTGGGCCCCCCGGGGTCAGAGGTCACACTGAGTCATATTTGACTCAGCTTTTATGTTTTTTTCACCTTTGGATGTGAGTCACACATTTCCCGGACAGCGCGATGGAGTGCTCAGGCTGTGTCTGACCTGGGGGTGCTCAGGAGCATTGAGGTATTCCCTTTGGTAGCTGATGCTGAGATGGGGGGCACCTTGGGGGATGGAGGGGGGCACTTTTATCATGTTCTCCCTTTGGAGGTGGTAGACCGATGAAGTAAGGTAATGGAGTTGTGAAAAGAGCGTCTTGGGGGACTAGAGGGAACAGAATGCCCCCCCACCCCCACCCCCACCCCGCACCATCAAAAACCGGCTGAGGCGACACCTGCGGCCCCCCATCTGAGGCAGAGCCTCCTCCTTTTTTTCCTCACTGCTGCACAGAAGTTTCACGGAAACATGAAAAAGGACTCGTAAATTGAATTTAAGTCCGGGTGACATCAAAGGGCCTGGCCGTGCTGCCCTGTGCCTGGCAGGGGGGAAGCTCCTTTGTGTGATACTGCCCCCCCCTCCACACCCCCATATTAGTCATGGCCCTAAATAGAGGCCCTCATGGGAGCTGCCACATCTTCCACACCAAGGCAAGCGGTGGAGGTGTCACATGGTGGTTATTTACCCCAAGGGATTATGGGTAAGGATGAGGGTTTGTGTGCCGGGTGGAAAATGTTCATATTACACTGCAGTGCCCCTTACTGACCCCCTTCCCTGGGACTCTGCTTAATTAGTGGAAAACCTGTGGATGGAGATCATCATCTGCTCTTTGCCCTGTCAGTCAGACTGAATTGAAGGATTCCTGGTCTGTAATTTTCTTCACAAAACGACAGGTTCCAGCCAGTCCTACAGGGTGCTTTAATCGACCCGAACACTTCGCCGAAATTGTGCCGCACGTGTAGCTTTTGAACTCCTTCTTTGTCGTTTCCTTTCATAGGCTGCGTTGGCCGTCGGGGGCTAACGTGGCGCTAATGAGAACCGCGGCTCGAACCTGATTGTTGGTGGCGACGAAAAACAGATGGAGGCTTGTTTTCCTTTCTGAAGCGACATATTAATTAAGAATCTCCTGGCAGCACCACAATAAGAGAAGAATCCCATTCATTTTCTGAAGTCCAGTTTAGTTATTGGGCAGTCAGCAGGTGGACAGATTCATTAGGAAGATAATTTGACGTTTGTGTCAGACATAATCGAAATTCAGAAGATTAGCGTGACATCAGAGGTGTAATGAAAAAGAGATTGGAAAAGGAGCTCAACTGAATGGGTACCAGGCGGCGTTTACAAAATATGGCTGCCACCAAAATCAGCATCCATTCATCTTCCTTGACTGCTTATCAAGTACGGGGTTGTAACGAGTCTGGAATCTCTCCCAGGAAGCCCAGGGAACGAGGCACGGGTACCCAAGATGGGATGCCAACAAAATGTAAATTAAAAAAAAAAATCTTCTCAAAAGTTCTTCTGTTCCATATTTACAAACAACCTATTTGGTCACAGCATTTTCCATCAAGGTGGTTAGTGTCACACATGTTTTGGTCATGAAAAACAGGGTGACACCTTCAAATGAAAGACCCACACATCACAAACGGGGATCTTTAGAATGGAGTGTTTTCTGTCTGTTTGGATCTCCTGCAGAGGAACGTTTATGATAACGATGAAAAAGCAGTATATTAGATGAAATGAGGCTGTTCTATTGATTGGTTGAGTCCAGTAAATTGCCCTCCAGTATCCTGCTTGTGTTGGCAGTCTGGGTACCCTCAGTAAAAAACGGTTTGGATAGGTCCTAGTTTGCCCACGATAAATTGTTAGGATGCCACCAAATGCCAGCTTGGCAAGTGGTTGTGCTGATTGATAAAGAAGCCCCCCGCCCACGGAGTGCCAACAGCGCTTCCCTGAAGGGGACGTATTTTTCAGCCGGCAGTTGGAGAAACATAAGAACAAAGTTTCCTGAGTTCCAGGCCTTTTGCCCTATGATGAACTGGGACAGGCTCCAGCCCGCCCCCCCCCCAGTCTGACCAGGGTAAGTGGTTGGAAAGTGGGTGGATTTTTTAAAAACATTATGCTCTCACAGCCTTAGCAAAACGTTTTGTGATAATATGCCGCATTACATTAGCGGAGCAGGTGGGCACAGAGACTGTGCTCAGCACCTGCGGCAGGCTCATGGCTCATGGCTCATGGCTCATGTCAAGGCCAGGTGGCACTCTGGGACGGCAGTAACACCCGGCTCCCACTGCAGCCTGTCTGCTGTGTTGAGTTTACTAATATTCAGATTAGGCCCACAGTCTCACAGGGCGTGACCTCATCAGGTCAAATGCGGTCACATGGGGCGGCACCGGCGAATGGGAGCAGAGCACTTCGGGAGAATATTTAAGGTGAGATATTGGTCAAGTGGGCCAGTATCAGCAGAACATGAATCCAGTTTGAATTTGACCGTAACTTGTGTTTACCTGTTGAAGCCGTAATACTGAGCTGATCTGCTATAGGCAGCTGATCCTGGCCTGTCTGGGACGTCATGGGGGCCGTGCGTTCCCCTTGGCTCGCTTGTTTAGGGGCCTGGTGTTGAAAAAAGCCACTCATATGCAGACTGCTCTCTGCATCTAGGACACAGCTGGACCTCAGGAGAGCAGACCACCGCCATCCTGTAGAATAAGCAGATATGCCATCCTGTTTGCCACTATGACACACTCACGTGGTTATTTTTAATTCCGGAGCCATTTTCGGCTGTTGACCATTTCAGTAGTAGCTGCTCAATCACCAGACACTGTAGGCAGCTGAGAATTACTCAGCATTCCCGCCGGGATTAAGAGATGCCAAATGTGACATCACACTCTCTGTCTTTCTTCTTAGAAACGTTCTCACCTTTTTGTCAGTTTTAAATAGAATTTCACTCAGAAGGCATCCATGACCCAACTAATTCTTTAATGTTTTACTCTGTTTTGAGGTTAATTTAAAATACATGCAAATTGGATTACTTTTCCACTCATTTTAAGTAGCTGTAATTTCTAAACATAAGTGTTTATGCATTTCTAGAACTGTGAAGCCTCATTGCTAAAGCGACAGGTCAGATCAGTCATGCTCTGTGAGCACCAATGAGCTGCTCATGAAACTTTGAAATTAAATTGTTAGGAGGCAAAAAGAGAAAAAAAAATATCATAGAGTGACTGTCAGACATTCCTAGGGGCACAATTAAGCCACAACCCAGACAGTACCAAGACTGGCTCATCCTACTTAACTGCCCAGAAGTGAAAGGCAGTTGCCAGTAAAGTCGCAAGAGACTCGCCACCCAGACCGAGTGGCATTGTTATCGGCCGAAAAAGGGTTCAACAATGATGTCTCGAAATGGGATCAGCCTTCCCTTCAACCCAACACCGGTCTCTTTGGAGACTTGTGAGATGAAGGCTATTCCTGGCAAATGTCAACATTAAGTCATGCCTGGTGTATGCCAGAAGTCATGTGACAGACCTCCAGGCCTTCAGGGGTAATGTTCTGTGGCATAATGAACCTGAACTTAAATGGCAGATTTGGTGTCAGAAACACCCCCAGTACCAAGGTAAAGACCATGGAGGTAAAGACCATGGAGGTAAAGACCGATGTCAAGCATGGAGGTGGCTGCATTACGCTTTGGAGTGGATTTTTATTGAACTCATTTGCAACACGGACAGGATGGATGGATGCAAATACAGGGGAGTCCTGGACAAGGACCTGCCTTACTTAGTGGGAGATCAGCATCGAGCAAAAATACAGAATTAACAGTACAGAGGAACAGCTTTTAAGGCCGGAGTTCTGTAACGGCTCAGCCAAAGGACAGACTCCAAGGCTGGATGTGAAAATTGCTGTTCACCATCTCTAACTGAACGGAAGCAAATTTGCTTGAAGAAATGAGCAAAAATTCCAAATTCTTAATGTGCAAAGTTCATACAGCCTTACCCACATCACTGTAATTGCTGCCAAAGGCTTATCTCTAAAATGTTAACTTGGGGGGAGTGGGGGTGGGGGCTGATTACATTTGAATGTAAAAATATTTTTTGAAACGTGAATGTGCTGGATTTGCTTTAATGATCAGGGGCAAAAATGTAATTTCCTTGCATTCAGAGTTTAAGGTGTGACTAACAAAACGTGATGAAAGTGAAAGGGGTTGTGCAAAGGCACTGTGTGTGTGTGTGTGGATGTGTGTGTGTGTGTGTGTGTCGATCAGGTTTATATTACATTGTGGGGATCAATTGTCCTCTAAAATGTGATAACAACCTGTTATTTTCAACCGTTTCATTTTTCAGGTCCCCACAAAGATCTGTGAACGCAATCAAAAAACTAAAAATGTCAAAAGTCTCATATTTTGTTTGGTTACTTATGGTTAACATTAGGGCTGGATAGGGGCTAAGGTTGCCATGTTGGGATTAGAGTTTTCCCCATAGAAATTAGTGGAGTGTCCCCACAGATATATAATTACTAACCTGTGTGTGTGTGTGTGTGTGGATGCGTGCACCTGGGGTAAGATGTAATTACATATTGGTTGTCAAGGGGAACAAGGCGTGCATCATTTTATGCCGAGAACGGCTGAAATGAAGCGTGCAGTGAAGCAGGGCAGTGAAGCAGAGCAGTGAAGCAGGGCAGTGAGGCAGAACAGTGTGAATGGAGTCTCTCCCATTTTAGCCAGATGGATAATCAAGAAAGGATCTGCCTGCTGCAGGGAACGTGAACTCAACAGAAATCATGAACTCATGACCTTAGGCAGTGTGAAAATGTGCCCATTTATTGGTTCCTTCTGGAAGATAATGTACCCTGTCCCCAAATCCACATATCTACATCACATCCACCTCCAGTCTGTGCTTTTAAAACAGGTCCATCATAATATTGTTGCTTGTCAGATTTCCTCTAACCCCAAGACTGCTTCTCTGCTTCCATTTTGATTTGCAGTAGTGCAGTTAGAAATAAAAATCTTCAAACAATGAGGCTGCACATCTGCCCTCCCTCCTTTTTCCAGTGTTGGCAATGTCAGGGCGATTTCTAGTGACACATATCACTTTGGAAGGACACGCCCCCTCCACACACACACGCACACAGACACACACACCACATTCCCCTGTTGATACGCGCTTTCTCTGTTGTATGGAAGAGGCAGAGATTGATGTGATCTCTCCTCAGATTTTGTCGTCACAGCTGGGAGTTATCGTAGTGTCATACTTAGAATGATGAGCCTGTGTTTTGATGCGAATGAGGAACTTTACAATGGCGCCATCACCTGTGCTGTGATGAGAATGACGAGCTTTCCGATATCGCCATCGCCTGTGCTGTGATGAGAATGACAAGCTTTCTGATGCCGCCATCGCCTGTGCTGTGATGAGAATGGCGAGTTTTCTGATGCCGCCATCGCCTGTGCTGTGATGAGAATGACAAGCTTTCTGATTCCGCCATCGCCTGTGCTGTGATGAGAATGACGAGCTTTCCGATATCGCCATCGCCTGTGCTGTGATGAGAATGACAAGCTTTCTGATTCCGCCATCGCCTGTGCTGTGATGAGAATGACGAGCTTTCCGATATCACCATCTCCTGTGCTGTGATGAGAATGACAAGCTTTCTGATATGGCCATCGCCTGTGCTGTGATGAGAATGACAAGCTTTCTGATATCGCCATCGCTTGTGCTGTGATGAGAATGACAAGCTTTCTGATATCGCCTGTGCTGTGATGAGAATGACAAGCTTTCTGATATCGCCATCGCCTGTGCTGTGATGAGAATGATGAACTTTCAGCTGCGTTTCCTGCTTTCTGCACCCATTTGTCCCATATCTCCTGTCTGTCTGTCTGCCTGTCTGTCTTTTTTCTTGGTGTGCCTCCTTTTGTGCATATGTGTTATCCTGGCTCTCCTCATTTCTCCTGCATCTCCTTTCGCATCACGCAGCAGCTTGTAAGGACCACAAGAAGGCCCTAGAGGTGTCCCAGCACTCGGAGGAGATGGGGCTGATCCTGGGGGTGTGTGCTGGTGGGCTGGTGGTCCTCATCTTGCTCCTGGGTGCCATCATCATCATCATCAAGAAGGGGTAAGTTAAGGGAGCTTCTTACCACTTTTCAGTGTTTGTAAAGCAGCCTGTCCAGTGGGGAAGTTTGCTCCTGCTTAAGGAAAAATCAGATATGTCATGAAGGCCCTCTTATCAGCCCTAAACAATCAGCCATATTCACCCAAATACGTTTTTGCATGCAGTGTTTGACACATAGATGATCTGTATGTCTTGCTACACAATTCAAGAATGGGGTCAGTCAGGCCTTATTGGATGATATTAACAGACTAGAATGTTCCTTTAGCCATTTATCAGGCAATTTTTGGGTTTTTATCATATAGAAATCGATATCGCTGTAAACATTGTTCTTTTACAGGGGTTCTTGAAAGGTGCAAGTGTTTGAATTATGCTGAAATACTTTTTTTGGGAGTTTTTGTAGAACACAATGGCACCAATTTGAACTCTGCTAGAGGGCCAAAGCAGAGTGTAATCTAAAAATCTTGTCTGAGTGTGAAATATTTAATTAAGAGGGATGCAATTCAATTACTCCCTTAATTACATGTGGGTAGCAATGGTGTTGACTGTAGATTAGCCGGTAATTGGGTAGGAAAAGGTGGGCTTTCCGAAATGATTAGCTTCTCTGTTCTCTGGGCTCCCCAAGCTCTTGATTGCAAGAGGGTAGGGTGTGTGTGGATCGGTTACCCTCATATTAAAATCTGTGGGTTATCCGTCCTGTCGGTTTAATCTATTCAAGTCCCATCGGGCTTTTCATCCTCTTTGGAGTTTCTCAGAGGTCGGCGGATATAGAGGAAACTGTAACAGCCTCAAAGAGGAGTGAAGTCCGGTTTCATAATGGCTCATGGGAGTTTTACTTACACAGACATTTCTGAGGGCAGAAGGAAAGATGATTGTAGAGAGATAACCAATCAGATTATAGAGGAGGTGGATCCAAGCAACTAGAGGAAGCTGGACCAAACAGTCAGACGTCTTGGTCCCACATCCTGTGTAAGTAAAATTCCCACGAGCATCATAATGTAGTAGGAGCTCATTCTGTGGATAGTGAATTACTGACACTGGCATTTTCTGACTTTAACAGTGTGTTTACTGAAGAACATAAAAGTTTCCCAGTTTGCACGGTTTGACATTAAGAGTGATTGCAGGATGTTTATCCTCAAGCTCATCCTTAGCTCATTCTGGCACAGTTGCATGTATTCGGTCCTGTGTCCCAGCTTAACATAGATACCGAATGACATTTTAATTACAAAGCAGATGGCCTCTGCCGGGACACTCGCGGAGACATGCACCTTGTTCACACGTTACGCTGTGACTCCTGCTCGTGACTGGATTCAATTAGAGACGTGGTTTGTTTTCCTGAGTGTGAAAAAAAACAGGACCAGTCTCAATCCTTAATTGTCTGCCTAATATCATGCATTTCTGTTGCAGTGGAGGCAAGTTGTGAACCATTAACTTTTAAACTGTATTTTAACTCTGATTCCACTCAATGGCCTGGTCATTCGTTGCACCTGCTGGCTAATGCAAACAGCCTGCTCTTACAAACTGGTAAATTGTACGGCTGCACCTGAATATATCGAGCAGGAAATTATTAATGTAAGTGTTACAGTGGCTAAGATGCCTGGTTTAAGTGGTGTTGATCGTGGTGAAATTATTGGTGCTGAATGGCGGTTCCAGCATCGCAGGCACAGCCTCTCCTACGATTTTCACACGCTGCAGTTTCAAGAATGGTGCGATGAACAAAAACATCCACTCAATGGCATCTCTTTGGCTAAAGACAACCTGTTAATGGGAGAGGTCAAAGGAGAGTTGACAGATTCCTCACAGCTAACAGGAAGGACCCAAGTGCAAGCAGGACATCTCCGTATGGGAGTGATCTTCAGACTGGCTTTTCTCAATGCAGAAATCAGTGACTCGTGAAGCTGTTCTGAAAGCCACAGTGGCTCCTACTTGATACTGGCTTGGTTTGTACCTTATAAAGTGACCGCAGAGTACATATTCAGCTTAAACTACAATGAAATCTGAGCTGCACAGTAACCAACACAGAACAGGTGAGCAAGTTACAGGTGAGCACACTTTTTAGATCTAGCATTAGAAGTTTAAAGTGCTCGGGGTATAAGCTCGATTAGGCTGCTAAGCCACCATGACATTGACTGCCAACTGGATAATTGCTAAATTTACCCTGGCGGAATGCCACATGGTGTTCTGATTAAAGAGTAACAAGCTAACAAGTTTAATTAGGCTGCTTAGTCCACTTTCTGGCCACTCGCTGGCCGTGCCTCTGTCTGCCGGGATGTCGAGAGCATGGCTGATTGCGCTGTTGCGTCTGCTGGTAGGCTGGTGGTCTATCCTCTTGAGCAGATACCAGGGCCGAGGTTAGGCATCCATTCACCCTCAGACTAATGACACGTTCCAGGGCCCTGGTTCATGTCTGAGCCCTGAATCATTTAGGGTTTCCACCCCAATGATGGAATCCCTGCCACAACCCAAGAAGCCCCATGTACCTCTTCCTCTTCTTATTCCTATTGTTATATCTCTTTTTCCTCATCCTCATGCTCCTCAGAAGGGACTACTATACCTACTCTTACTACCCGTAAGTGACAGCCCCCCCTACCTCTCCTTCACCCCATATACCTCTTGCCTGTCATGGTTTTTTCCAGCTTGTTGGTAGTTGCATTCTTTTTTATATCTTTCCCTTGCTTATCATCCCCTCTTTCTCCTCCATCCTACTCTTATCTCTTCCTCCCCTCCTTTCTTATCTCACTCACTTCTTCTCTCCGTCTCTCTCCTACGCACTTCCGCCCGCATTCTCCAAACGGCAACTTGAGGAGGAAGCCGGTGAACATCAACAAGACGCCCATCACCTACAGGCAGGAGAAGACACACATGATGGGCTCCATGGAAAGGAGCTTCACCGACCAGAGCACGCTGCAGGAGGATGAGAGGATGGCACTCTCCTTCATGGACGCCCACAACTGCAGCACCCGCAGTAAGCAGACGACGCCTCCCTTGTGATTACACCCCCGGCTAAGTCCTGCCCCCAGCTTGTCCTGCTGTATCTCACATTTGACAGGACATACACAGCTAATAAAAAAACATCTTTTGAGAAAATGCCTCAAACCACAAAGCTGGTAGCACTATGAGTATACCTGTGAAATATGATGCACATTGCATACTTGGTGCATCTATTTTCACAGTAGTTTAACCCATTTGAAAGCTTCTCATGGTTCTATATGGCTCATCTCTGGTGTCTTTGGACCATAAGTAGATCTCTCTTCATTCGTCTCCCAGGTGATCCACGTAGCTCTGTGAACGAATCCAGCAGCTTGCTTGGGGGGTCTCCACGACGACCATGTGGACGCAAAGGCTCCCCCTACCACACGGGGCAGCTGCACCCGGCCGTGCGCGTGGCCGACCTGCTCCAGCACATCAACCAGATGAAAACTGCAGAGGGGTACGGGTTCAAGCAGGAGTATGAGGTGAGGGCGCTATGGGATCGGGGTAAGGCCACCCCCATGCTAGAAATCTTCCCCCATATTGGTCAAAACTCATTCATCAGGTTATCACCCAGTCTGTGGACAGAAAGGCCATCAGAGAGGAAAAACCAGCTGTCCTGAATAGGTGTTTCTCATATGGGTAACAAGTTTATGTAAATAAACAACAATATAAGTGGAAGTCAGCTTTGGCGGACAAGAGTAGAGAAATAGATGCAAGGTTGTTCAGGATTGGATAGGAGAGGAGTAGTATATCCATACCAGCAACCTGCAGCCAGATGATTGATCCTCTATGATGATGCTTGCACAGCATGAAAGGAGATTTTACTTTGAGTTCCGGCTCTAAATAAAGCAACAGCAGCTTCCCGGTTGAGCAGTTGGTCCAGAGCTTGTCCTCTGGAAGAGTGACTCATCTTCATGGGGCTCAGGTAATCTGCTTGGCCTAGCGGAAGATATCAAAGGTGTCCCTTTTCCTCAGACAGTGACCTGGAGTGGCTAGGAGTCTGTTTACTGCCCGCTCTGGCCTCACCACACACCTGAGCTGCCTTGACTTTGAGTCTTCTTCAGCTGCAGCTCGTTTTATAGGAGACATCATCCGGGTTTTTTTTGTTGTTTTTTTGATAGTAGCAGGGCCTAGAGTTTAGGTGTTTGTTACCAGACATAGATGCTGAGCAGGTAGAGTTTAGGTGTTTGTTACCAGACTTAGATGCTGAGCAGGTAGAGTTTAGGTGTTTGTTACCAGACTTAGATGCTGAGCAGGCAAGCATGACAGAAAGAGACACTGTGCCAAAATATGCGAAGAGCCAGAGGGTCTTGCAGAAGGACATGGCTGAATACCAAGAAGAGTAGCACACGTACCTCTGTCCTTTGGAGAGGACGTACCGGTGAAGAACAGAAGACTCACCGACCATAATTATATTACTCATGCTGCACCTGCAATTATCTACATTGCTAATCAAACCTTGAAGCCCAACTAAGGTTTTGATTTTGATGCGTGATTTATCTCTTAGCCATAAAAGGCATAATTGTCTACATAACCTCTCTATGCCACGGACTACATTATTTTTAAAAGAGGAGCCGGGCAAGGGGAGCCAGAAATTCTTCTAGATCTTGACCTCTGAGAGATGCTGAACATCTCAACAAAGTTGCAACAGCAACCATGAAGATCTTTAAGAAATACATAGCTTGTGTGCTTCAAAGACAGGGCTCAGTTGTTCTAGATTTTTTTTTTGGGTGCATTTATTTATTGTCACGTCCACAACTAATGTCGGGTTACCATGGCAACCTCTTGTTTTAGTCGACTCTCAGCCCTCAAACATTTCTCCTTTGTGGAATACTTATCTTTGAAAAATTGGCTTAGAGAGGACGACTTCTTCTGTCAGCTATGATTTTTTTTTTTTAAGAAATAGGACTTCTATCCCCAATTTTTTCGCTAGTAGAAGGTTCCCCCCCAGGAACTCAGTGGCACTTGTAGACTCATTAAGCTGTTCCCCTTGGGAAAAACAAATGGCTCACAAAATCAATATACAGGTCTCTGTATTCATTTCTTTCCTTCTCTATTGCTCTCTCTTATATTTTCCAAGATTGTCCCTTGCCTGTAGGAATGAACAAGACAAAAATACCAGTGGGCATCTCACGCCAAGCTTTATTACTGCTTGCCGGTGGATCACGGGGGGTGCCCATCGATCCGAATGCTGGATTGTGGGTGTGACCTGAGCTGCCCCCCGTGCGGGTCAGCTCTCCATTCCACGGACACGTTATCAGAGCCTAAAGCAGCAGAACTCAAGGGCATGATGCAAACATTTGTAATCTCCTATGGACGGGCCTTAAGGCCTTGTTTTACCAGATTTGAATAAAACACTCATAGTGAATTTTAGCAGAGCAAGGATTTTAAGTGGGGGAAAAGGAATCTGAATAGAAAGGACAGGAAATGGCTCCTTTGAAGATGGGTATATAAAATACAATTATCCTCTCACCCTGAAAAACAGAGTGGGAGGGAGAACATTCTGTTCTTTCCTTATACATCTTATATCAATGGACGTGACGCAGCTGAAAACTCGCTGAAAAGCCGAACAGCACTGAATCAGAAGTCTGTGATGTTTTTAGGCACGGTGCCAGAGACATCCCCGTTCCTATTTCACCATCCAAAAGACATTACTTTCCTATGATTTACAGTTTCTTTTATACTGTTGGAAACCTTTTGGTAACACTTAAAGCAGTCATCATAATGCCTTATAGATACCTTCGTAATGCATTATAATGCATTCATAAAGTATTATTAACATGGCTGTAACTATTTATGAAAAGGTGTAACACATTATAGCCGTGTTTATTATGCATTATGGTAGATCTATGAAGCCCTCATCTATAATGCACTATAGATACCTTCATAATGCATTATAATGGTCAGTATAAGCCATTATAATGCATTATGAAGGTATTTATAGCGTATTATAGGTGAGACCTTCATAGAGCATTCGCAGCAGGCCAATGCACTTATATGATGACTAAGTTGTAATCCTAAAATTAGCTGGCCACGTTAGGTATGAATAAAGTGAGACTCTTCTAGGTTTTACACTTACAGAAGAATAGAACAGCAGATATGTATTGTATATATGACTCAGCGGGTTTAATAAGAATGTTTTAAGAATAACATTTTATCTGCTTATTATCCATATACTTTATATACTTACTTTACACGCAGCCTTGCCTTTATGTGCTGCCGAACAAACTAGTGCTTTTATAAATTAGCGAGCTGGCTTGCAGTGTAGCTAATTACAGAGGAGAATCGGATCAGTTGTTGCCACAGCAGACTTTCTACAGCCTGGGCGGGAATTGCGCTGTGCTAAAAGCTGCAAGCTGCTAATGGCCTCCTTCTGCTATGGTGCCACAGCGGCTTGTGCCAGGAGAAGCCTGACATCATTTATATTTGCCTCAGGCTAGCAGCTTAGCATCGAGGCTTTAGCATTTAGGATAAAGGTTAAACGTGAACGGACTCTGCATGCTAACATCCTTCTGAGTGTCATCTTTTTTGCACCTGACACTGCTATCAGTTTGATGTCGCTGCTCATTAGCCCTTTGGACATGCATGCTGAGGGACTTCAGGGTTTCTGCAGCAGTTTCTCAGCTAGCGGTACCACCTTTGTCAGAAGTGTTGTTTGTGATCATGTTCCCTTCGTTCTTGCCATCCTGGTTGCATACCGTCACTCAGAGACACCGATTTCAATTCGGACTCTGGCCTTGATTTTCCGCTCAGGAATTCCAGCCCCCTGGAGCCCTAGCTCTTCGCTCTCTGTGCCGGTGCTCAGTAATCCAGCCGCCCTCCTGACAGGCCCACACTGCTGTAATAACGGCAGACTCAACAGCCATTTGTGGCTGGCTGGAGCTTCCAGGCCAGTGCATCATGGTTTGGGGGGGGAGGTGCCAGAGAGTGGGAAAGCCCATGTGACCGATGCCCTGGGGAGCAGAGAGGCCTTTGTACTAAGAGGTGGGAACCCTCAGGATCCCCAATATGGAAGACAATGTGCATTACCAGTACACATAATAATATGTACCAGTACAAAGGTTATTTGCTCTGTGTTAATGAAAATGTAGAATTATGGAAATATTTTGTTACATCAGGAGATAGAGAATGTGACATTCACTCTCTGTTACAGATCAAATGAATAAGAGTATGGGAGACATTTTGTTTCATACGTATGTATCATTTTTTCTGTTACATTAAAATAGAATAGTACATATTTTGCGTTATGCCAGGACAGAGAGTGATCTAGCATTGAGTTTACAGGTAAATTAAGATTATGGGATCCTAGGAAAGATTGCAGAGGTAAGAGAGTGATGTGACATTCAGGTTTTATTGCAGAGTAATTGAGTGCTGTTACAATGCCGCGGCCATTTTGCAATATGCTGCAGATGCAGTGTTACATAACATTCCTTTGTGTTTCAGTGATATTGATGCAGGGTATCTGTTAAAGAGCAGTTAGCGCCTGGAAGTTTCTGGAAAGCCAATATCCGTGTCATTTCCAGCAAGTGGCAAATAACAGATGTTGATATAATAAAACCCAGAAATATGAAAAATTATGCATTGGGTTAATTGGTAGATTCATAGATTGCATCATAAAATGCCTACTTGGCCTAATGGGAATTAATAAAAACCACCTGTCTTAGTTTAATGTAGGGTGACGATGGCTTGTATAATACTTACTGGGCTGCTAATTGAGTGATGGGAAAAATTTGCATCATAACTTTGGTGGAATTAATGCTGTCAATCAACAGCTGAACCTACCCAATGGGATCCCACAGTTCACGATAGTCCCACCCATGATACAAATTACGGGGGAGCTAAGGGGCACTTGACTCTGCTAAAAAGGACACAAGCTCCCCTGAAAGCCCCCCCCCCCCCCCCGAGTCATTTACGATGAGCTCTAAAAAAAATGTCCACTTTTCTGCTATAGGTTATAATTTCTTTTCAGTACTTTAAGTTCCTGAAAAAAAAACAACACTATAAATATGTCAAAGCTGTGTGTTTATTCGCTCATTACATTGCATTTTCCGAACATCTGTCTCCACTAATTAACACAATTCTGTCTTTTGTGCCTGTATTAAATGTTACTGACGGTTTTAACTGGCTGCCGTAGTAATAGTAGAATGTTTTTTGCAGTAACCCTTTTATTGACCGAGCTGCTGCACTTTTACATGTATTGCCTTGCATGAGACTTGGGAAGTCGTGGTGCAGACAGGAAAATAGGGCTTTTCTGACAGCCACTGTGTAATTAGAACCCTGGTCCCACCCTCTGCAGTTTTCCAAATCTCATTTAAGTGCTGCTACATTGACAGAGTGCTCGTCAGCTACCTCTCTGGTGTCTTTGCTAATGTAGCTATAAACTTCTGAATGGGAGAACACAGCACCTGCTCTGGTCCGGACACGCAAACAATGTGATGCGGGTCCGGGGGAACCGAATGGGGTTTTATTGGGGATTTTACCTAAAAGAGGGAGAGGAATGAAAGCAAAAGCAAGCATTGTGGGTCCGGGCACAGAGGAGACAAGACAGATGTGGGGTCTTGGGAAGGAAGACACCCAGCATGATTCAGGTTTAAGCTTGTGGGATCTTGAGGTTTGCTTGTACCCTTGGTGTATGGTTCTGCTAGTCAGGTCTGTGTGCCTGAGATTGGAAGACTGCCAGTTAATATTCCATGTATTGGGCCCTTAAGCAAAGACCTTAACTCTGCATGCTCTGACCCTGTTTTCTCTATTGTATATCACTTTAAATAAAAGCATCTGCTAAATGAGTGTAAGTAAAAATAAATAAACAGAATAAAGCATGTATGTGACACATTGCTTCCATAATGCAGCTGCAAATATCAAAGAGAGAGTTTCAGTTCAAATAGATAAAGGGAAATGTCCCGTAATATAGAAGCTGTCAGTCTGTGTGGCTATAGACGATCTGTGCGGGCAGGACGGGAGGTGCTAGATCCAAGATTGGCTGTCGCACATGTCTGAGACAAGTGCCTCACACTGTCTCCCGGGAGGAGAGACTGATGACGCGAGGGTTAGAAGGTGGGAAGGTGCATCATGTGACTGAAGGAGGGGGGAAATGTCTGTGGTGATGGCTAGGAGCCGGGGGTGAGCTGTTCCTTAAATGGTTTTTTTTTTACCCTCAAAGATACAAATTGGTCTAACGTTTTTTCTGACAGTGTGACTCTTCAGATGACCTGACCACTCTGTAATTGTAATAGCTACTGAACTACTGTTGAATCGAGTTTGGACTTCGGGGCACGATTTCTCAAGGAACTTTTCTTGTCCTTGATTCTCAGAGTTTCTTTGAAGGATGGGATGTCACTAAGAAGAAGGACAAGACCAAGGGAAGACATGACAGCCTCATGGGTTGTAAGTGAGCACTTTAAACACAGGGGTCTAACATAGTTCACATTTATAAGCCTGTAGTTCTTTGTGGGATGTTTTCATAACCTACCCTCAAGAGTCAACTGCATTCATGCAGTCAATCAATATGTCTGCTGCATAATTACATCCCCAATCCACAATATTGGTATTAAACAAACCTAAGGAGCAGCTAAGATGGAATAGTGTATAGTAGATGGTATATACTTGTGTGCCTGTACCACACATGAAATATCAACTTGGTTCTTTTCAGATGACCGCCATCGAGTCAAGCTCCATCCACTGCTGGGGGATCCCAACTCCGACTACATCAACGCCAACTACATTGACGTGAGTCCTGCTTTTTCTGTCCACGTCAGGTAATCCCTGTGGTTAGCTGCATTGATCCCCATGGCTGTAACAGCATGTTTCCTGGATCCATGTCTGCAGAAGTGGACATTTCAGGTCCAAAAAGTAAAACCTTAGACTAAGATTTTGTTTCAACCAACCAGTTGAGTACTCTGTGACTGTGACTCTTTATATTCAACTGGTTGGTTGAAACAAAGTCTTGGTCTGGATTTTTACTTTCTGGACCTGAAATGTCCATTTCTGCATATCTATTCCAGATTTATACCTGCTCCCGCAGAGTAGCCATATGTGCAGATGTGGCCACAGGGTAGCCCTTTTGTGCTACAGTGATCCCACTTTTTTTTTTCCATCCCACTTTGTGTTAATGCAGGGGTGGGTTAAAAAGTGGATTTAATCTGCATGAAAAGCAGGCATTATCCACACTAGACGTTTCGAAGGACTGCTCGTCTAAGCTTAGCTGTAGATCACTATTGTCTGGGTGTGGGTGGAGTGGTGAGCTGACACAGGAGGTGGTTCGACGTCATCATGAGCTTGGCCGTTGGCTCTCCTTAGATCGAGTACCTTATTAGGGGGCTAAACTGGCAGGGTGCCAGGTGTTTGCCCCAGAAAGTGTGAAGTGAGCAACAATAGCTAACAGGGCTTGCAAAGTGAAGTAGCATGCAGTGTTGCTGTTACAATAAGGTCTTTACAGTATATTGCATCAGTAAATGTAGTTAAATCTAGTTTAACATATGTACTACATGTAACTCTGGGTGGGTGAAGGCCCTTCAGTGATTGTAACATTTGGCTACCAAGCCACCTGCTTCACTCTAAAGGGGCCAGCTGGCTCCTCCCCCTCCCAAAAAGAAAGCTTTAAAAATAACATCTGTGAGTCTCCCTCTGGAGAAACATCCAGATCCCCCTAAAATCAGAAAAAAAACCCCATCAACATAAGATCCTGTGACTCATGGTGCCTGTTGGCGAGCGATTCTGTGATCCCTCCCAGTCACAGAACAGCCCCGCGCCCACTGGATCTGCATGCTGATGGGCTCATTTGAACTACACTTAGGGTGGGTCTGTCTCTACACTCCACCAGTGAGCCCCACTTCCTGTATAAGGAGCTTATCTGTATTAATATGCATTTGCTTAGCTGACATCTTTATACAAAGTTGACTAACAGCTTTTCAATGTATGAACACTGTTGCTCATTTTGCAGAAACTATTTAAATATCTTGCTCAAGGGTACAACAGCTGTTCCGCCCTGGGGTTTTCGACTGATGGTCAAAATCAAAGCTTTTTAACCACCTTTTTTGGAGATGCCAGACTGCTAAAAACCATGCAGCGGGACTAAGATGTGGGGAAGGCCCTTTCGGGCTCTATTAACATTCATTACCATTCAGTGTCACTTCAGTTTGCATTTTGTGAATATTTGTTGCTAATAGGACTGCAACAGCTGTGAGGAACTGCTTCAAAACTAACTGCTCGGGAGTGTTTGTAGCATGTAGCACGGGAGGGAAGAGTTGGGGGGGGGTTCCGTGATAACCTAATGGGTGGGTGACCATGTTCTGCATCAGTGCTTTCACGTAACACCACTGAAAGGTGAAAACCAACATCCTTCTCCAGGTCTCCCATTACTTTAGCATTAGCATTAGCAGACTTCATCCAGGGCACACTGGTAGCTTAACTGGGGATACTTGTGAGAGGTACTCCCCCATAGAATGGGAGAGGAAGTGAAGAAAATAAGACTCTGGGATGCTAGGCAGTCAGTCAGACAGTCAGTCCCCCTTCACAACCAGAGATTAACCAAGGGTTTCTTAAACATTGTGTTAGTGTAAAGTTAGTCAGTTCTTAATCACCAAAGAGCAGATGACTCAGCTGTGTCTCTGAAGAGGAGGCTTTGATCGCCATCAAATACAAACACGCATTTCCATTACATTCATCGGTGCGGAAGACGTTTTCATGCAGATCAACTTGGCACGGCCATTAAGGCAAAGGAGCTCACGGACTGGACATCAAAAGATGCCGTACATAAGTGGTTGATCACAGATACCAAAGTATACTGGAGAGAGCCGCACTCTTGCTTTGAGATGTACTTCTAAGGATGTCTTTGGGCCTCTTGCTGTCCCTTCCCTATTGTGGAGCTTGCTGCACTAACATTGTTTATCTGTGCAGGTTGCCCATGGCACGCCTGTGACCTCTGATCCTCGATTCCTCTTTGGTGCTCTTGTTAATTAGCCTCTGTCTCTTCTCTCCTCCTCCCACCCTGTCCCTCCCTTCTCGGCTTATTGGACCCTGTAGATTCGGATAAACAGGGAAGTAAGTACTTCGTTGCTGTATCTTCTGTCTGCTACCTTCCCGTTCTCCTATCTGAGCTGCCCGTGTCCCTCCAACACCTGGAGCTGATCCGGTGGGTCCTGGGGGAGGTTGTGTTTCGGTGGGAACACAACCACAGTTGGAGCTGGCACAAAATGAGCTCTTGGTTTTGCCAGGGAACTAAGTGAGATGGGTGCAATTGGATTCTCAAGAATTTTTGGAATTTTCTGATGTGGTCACCAGGAATCTCCAGATCTTGAGTTCTTTTCTGTAATTTAATCTGACTTTTGATGATATTCCTTCACAATAAAAGTTTGAGTGACGGCCATAAACTCTTCCTGAGTTATTTTGGGTTACTGCGCCATCCCTGGTGGCCAAGTCATGTGACGTCCTTCTAAGGCTTACTTTGTGCCAGCTGTCTAACTATCAAGGAGCCCTGTAGAATGGAGGTCAAGTGATAATTCTAGAGCAACATAGTTAAACACTAGTAGTTCTAGAAGACACCAGTTGATCTCAGTTGGTGATCCTGCTGTTATGTCGATCTACTTTAGTCAAATTGCTTGCAAGTGCAGGAGGTTGTGCACCATAGACCATGTCTGCTTCTTAGGTTGCCATTTAGATCCATCCCTGCTTCTTCTCCAGTTTTCTCTATTTAAAGTGTTAGTCAGCTTCACGGCGTGGTTGCCCTCGCGATGAGTCAGAGCTATGGTCATGTTCAGCCCTGTGTAGTTATAGGAGCAAGGCAGGGGGTGGGGCTTCAACACGCCAAACAGGTGCCATTCATTTCCATTCTACTCATCCACCGGGGGGGTTGGGGGGCTCTGTGTGACGGATAAGACACCTGAGGACAAGCTTCAGTGACTCTGAGATCAAGTTCTCCTCCTTCGGTTTTCACTGTGAATGTGGTTGTGTTGGGATGACTTGTGTCAGGGGCTCATAAGGGGGTGAGAAGATATCCCTGTTCCCTCTTTGGACTGACATAAGAACCTAAGAAGAACTTAACAAGTCCAAAATGATGTCCATCCATCCATCCATCTTTCAACTGCTTGTTTGGTCAAAGTCACGGGGCCAAAATTATTTTAAAATGGAGAAAAAAGTTACAAGCAGATATTTCAGCTTTTGTCAGTTTCAGCACCTGTGGGCAGAAAATGTAATTATTTGAAAAGCACGGTAATTACACCCGTCCTTCTGTAAAGAAAAGCTTCCTGTCGTCAAAGCCGGTCCGCTCTTTCAAGAAGGACCTTTCATGGGTAGCGCGCTTGAAGTGGTGTCGTGTGGACGCCTCGGTGAAGCGGGAGCGAGGCAGGAACGAAGGACCCTGCCGGCTTTTTGAAGCCTGGAGCCCGAAGGCCAGATATCAGGGCTGCTCTCATGTAGCACGTTTTGGCCAGTTTTCCTGATTTTGCTCATTAATTTAGTCAAGGAATGGATGCCGTGTGGAAGATACTGGGTCTTGTACTATTATCCATGAAGCCTTTTCCAGTAACCAGCCAGGGTCACGGGGTGGATCGTCTGGGCCTTATAGTTATCCTCAATGCTGAAAGATATCCCACCTTACGGAAAGTACGTCCCCATACCTTATTGTCATTAACTTCAGCACAATTAATTAGTGTGTTTCGTAACATAGTAACAGGTTTCTCCACAGTAGTGATTCCCGACATTAGTGGTGAAAATTTGCATTCTGGGATTTTCCTGTTACATGGATGGCAGGCAATACTTCCTGGTTCTCCTGTTTCCTGGCCTCCGCCTCCAGAGGAGGTTTGACAGGTCTGGGGGGGGGGGGGGGGGGGGGGGAGTAGCATTCATTTCATCTCTGGCTTAGTGCTGAAATCGCGTAGCTGGCCAGACACAACAGGCTCGCATTCAAAGGCCGCAATCAGCGGATATTCAGCGGAAAACATACGTCGGTGAAGACTGCTAATGGGAAGTGTAATGCATAACATCTTATTATGGTGCTCAGAAGAACTGTTCCATTTCATTGCACTGCACATGGATAGATATGGATTACTGGGATAAACTGAAGGTTCTGACAGCTGAATAATATCTGCATTGTGAAGGAGCATGTTTGGAGGTGTTTGAGCAGTGATGTGCTGGGTCAGGGTGGTGGGGCAGGTGGGGGGGCAACCTGAAGGAGCCTGGTACTGAAACTGTCCCTTTTCCTTACAGGGATACCATCGATCCAACCACTTCATCGCCACTCAGGGTGAGTGTCTAAGGTTCCTGTGGAGGACCGTGTCTGTGTCTTAGTGCCTGAGATGTTTGTCTGCCTGGAAGTGTGAGCGTGCGAACCTGTGCAGAGTGCATAAGCGTGTGTGGTGCACGCTTGTGCCTGTGTATATGTGTGTATATGTGCCCCATTGCGTGAATGTCTGGGTTTTTATCAGTGTGTGTCTGCAATTATGCCTGATTGCATATAGGAGTTTGTGTGTGTGTGTGTGTGTGTGTATGTGTGTGTCTGAGTGTAGATTATGTTTACATTACATTTTGGGTTAAAAAAACCTGTTATTTTGACATTGTGGGGACCATTTTTCAGGTCCCCACAAAGATCTATGAATGCAATCAAAAAACCTAAAAATGCCATAAGTGTCGCATTTTGTTTGGTTGCCTTTGGTTAGGGCTGGGCAGGGCTTAAGGTCGTCATGTTGGGATTAGAGTTTTCCCCATAGAAATGAATGGAGAGTCCCCACAAAGATATAATTACAAAGCTGTGTGTCTGTGCCTGTAATGACTCCTGATTGTGTATAGGTGTATGTATGTTTGTATGTTTGTTCATTCCTTCCTTTTTGGTGAGGGACCCCCCCCATCTGCTCTTGGCTTCAAACCCCTCCCACTCTGATCCCGTTTGCACTCCATGTAATTCCCCTGCAGCTGCTCGTCTGTCTTCCCCTGTTTCCACGTCGATCCAGCATAAAATGCCCTCTCTCTCTCTCTTCTTCTCTCTCTCTCACACACACACACACACACACTGTCTCTCTCTCTCTCTCTCTAACTCTCTCTCACACACACACACACACTGTCTCTCTCTCTCTAACTCTCTCTCTCTCTCTCACACACACACACACTGTCTCTCTCTCTCTCACACACACACA